TGTTTTCTTGTCAGAAGCAGTCACAAGGTGGGTAGATAAACAAGACATGTTATCATTGTATATAAATCAATTTAAATTTCTGCATTGGATAACATAAAAAATATATTATATAGGTCCGATCTTTATTGTATGATATACAGTACTTTATTTCTTTATGTTTTCTTATCAAAGGCAATTACAAAGTTCATACAACCATTTCTGCATCAATGTATTGGATCATGTCAATTTCAGATGCTTCACACTTGATATAGTAGGATCCAGCTTCGTAATTGCCTCTACACCTTCCCGATCCTCATGATTTGACTTACATATTGGGCATAATGACTCAGAATTAATTCCATAATAATCGACACCTTCATTACTATATTCATAAAATATATCAGGATATTGCTCCAATGTTTTGTTACGGAAATTGGCATGGGCATGAACTGGATTGGGTGGAGTACTTACCTTAGTCCCCGGTAAAGATTTATCATCATCCTCACTATCATCAGAGTTAAAATCTGAAAAGCCATCAAATACATCATTCTCATTTACTATATCTTCCAAATTAGAGATTTGAGATGATGAGATAGAGGAAATAGTTGAAATACATGTCTCTGGTGAAGTTTCTTTACTCACTTCAGTGGGAATACTTATCTCAATATTTGGTATGTCATTTGAGCTAGATGAGTTGGTCATGTGAGAATGTGAATTTTTTTCACGCTGTGGGGTTAGTATCACATTTTTCTGTGAAATGACTTACCTCATATATAATTGTATCGATTGTACATCTGTTAATTTTGAAAGTTTATTTGCGCTATAAGTCTTAATTAGCAAAATCTTATTTTCTCCAATTTCATTAAACAACTTATATATAGGTTTAGTTAGTTATATTTTTTTATGCAAATTTATTCGGGAGATACCTGAAAGATAGCATAACATTTCATCATAAATTTGGCTACTCGCTAGCTCATATGCTTTTTGTTTTGTAATATGTGATTTATTTTTCAGGATTCCAGATAAAATTTCACTATAGCTTTTTTCAAAAAACTTTCTATATGAATATCAGCTAGCAATTTCATCTTGTTTAGCTCACATAGTATTAAATTCCACAAAACAAATTCTTTCGAATAAATATATCAATCTGATTGCAGGTGATTGGTTATCTGTAGAATTTTTGCCAAAGGCAGTCACACAGTGGTTAAATCTGAAGAATCGCTTCTCTGAGGAGTCTACATTAATAATTTTAACTGTATCCTCCTATATCCAGTTCTTGTATTAAAGGTTGTATATCTATTTCAAGTGTTTTATTTTTTTGCTTTATAGGAAGTTATTCTAATAAATCAGAGCTATTACCAGAGATAGTTACAGAGTGGTTAGAGATAGGTTACGATATTGTCGACGATTTCAAATTTTGATCTTTGTATTATAAATTAAATGGTTCTGATGAATTATTATCCAGGGATAAGTTTTGTTCCCAAAGTTTCTTTTCCCTAATTCTCTCCATTATCTCTTTACTAACCTGTTCTTTATATTTCATTTCTACAAAATCAAGGGTCTCAGCTATATCGTCATTGATAATGGAGCTAGTGCTAAAGCATATAATTTCTTGTGGCAAAGAGGTTGTGAATGACTTACCTTTTTGGGTCTGAATTGAGCTATGTTCTATTTTGGGTATAGGATCGGAAGTAATAGCTTTCTCCTCACCAGGTTGGTTTTCGATAAGTAATGAAATTTCTTTTGTGGGAGTATTGTTGAAATTTACTGGAAAGTACGAAACATCTTTTGTAGAAATACTTTTTTCTCCCTGTTCTAATATAGCGAGTCTGGTCTTAAGCTCTATATTCTTTTGTTCAAGTTCCTCAACTCTAACATCGCGCTTTGTATTTTCTTCTATAGCCTGCCTTAGCTTCATATTCTCAGCCTCGACCTCAGTATATTTCTTTTTAATTTCGGTATTTTCAGCTATAAGCTTGGAAATCTGTTCTTCTAACAAATCAATTTTAGATTGTCTATTTGCCATTTTATATAAGATGTAGATATATTCAAAAGCTCGAGTAAAATCACATAACTCCGTGAAAAAAAATCACACACTTTTTGCCAAGAAAATTATTTCAGAAAAATTCTCGATCATATATACATTATACAAAAAATAACACATGATACGTTATACGTTCCTCTAATCAAAAATCTTTATTAATAAAATATATATATACAATAAAAATACAGGATAAAAATATAAGATAAAAATACAGGAATCAGGAATAAAATTAAGTACGTAATGGTGAAGTAACAATGGGACTTTGTTGTGTATTTCTTGGAGGGCATGCATCAGCTTGTTCTAAAGCTTGCATAAGTAAATTTTGGTTTACGATCATGGTATTTCTAAAATATTAAAAGTAAATGAACAAGGGGTTCCACGTGCCATGGAGTATTTTTTGCGAAAGGTATTTCAGCCTGATCCAAATAGAAATATCTAGGTATTCCACTTGTGTCTTTTATTAAGACATTTAAAAATAATTCTTCACCAGTTACTTGAATCTCAACGATACTAATTGATTATTTGCTGATCTGCAAGAATTCCCTACAAAACTTATTCCATCTAAAGTCTCCCTTCACAATTTTATGGAATCATCATCTTTTTTCAATTTAGTACAAATAACTTGAGATAATTCAACATAAATAAGTTCAAAAACCTTACCTTTATATTTTGTCATAACCATAACATCCGGCTTTTTTCCTATTAAATTTTTTTGTATAGATCTTTCTTCATTAGAGCTAGAGCTTCTTCGAGTTTTGCTTGCTATACTTTGTCATTCAGCTGTATTCAAAAATATGATACCACTGGGAAGATCTTCTAAGCTAGCTCAAAGTAAAGATATAATAATATCTGTGACATATGTACCTTCGCTTTGAGTACTCTACATTTCACTGGTTGCAAATGTAGGATTATTCCATATACCCCTACTAAAAATCATATTAAAATATTAATTTCATCAACAAAATTCACAGAAAGTACTTACATAATATTTAATATATGATCTGTGCATTCTAATAACTTTGATTCATTCTCTTTTCACTCTTTATTATGTACAATATTCCTGATTATATCTGAAAAGCTGATGCTATTAAAATCGTTTATAAATCTATTACATTTTGAACTAATCAAAGATAGAGAAGTACATTTCATATTTTCACGTGACTTGAGAAAAAATTGTTTCTATCTTGGTCCTAAATTTTTCACAAGTATGGAATCATCAGCAATAATCATATTTGCTTTGGGATCGTGCCAAGTAAGTTTAGAGGAATCGATGAAATTTAAATTTATTTTGAGACCGTTGTAAAGGGATATATCATTATCTGCTAGCGGAGCACCAAGTTTCATTTTTAGAATTCTTAAATTTCAATCAATTTCTTCTCTTGAATGATCAAGTACAATATTTGATTTCGAATTTAAGCCCTTTACAGCATTTAACCTTACAATATTTTTATAAATAATATCTATTTATAGCAAATGCAAAAATAAATTGTGTACACAGTTAATATATGTCTCCCCATGAAATAAAATTAATTTTATATGCACGTACTTAATTCAAAATCAGATATCATTAATATAATAATTTTCTATTCTACATATTATGCATAGTTAGGGGGTAGCAGAAACCTTCGACAATCATGAGAAAAAATTCTGACAATTTCACTCTTCCGAGCTGGTGTCCCTAACTTTTTAGCAATAGTATGTAAAATATACTAAATAGCATTTGCTATAAACTCATCATTAATAACTATTTTTGTAACTGCAAATAAGTAAATGATTTATAAACCTGTGTTAATACTTCCAGGATTTTTATTCTTCGCTCAAAATCAGTTATCTTATCTAATAAAGAATTCACTACACATTCTGCAAAATCTTTAATATCTTTTAAAGGCAATATAGTTGTTCCTTTTCTTGTCAAGTAAATAATTGTAGCGTAGCGAAGCATATAGCTTCAAGAGATCTTTCCAAAAAAAGTATTTCAATTTTTGAAATTAAGATGGTTATATTGAAAATGAAAAATATATGTTAAAAATACTAGCTTTGTTGTATAATAAAGAACGTGACTAAAACTTTTAATAACACCGCTATACTCTCCTTTTAACGCTTCTAGTTATTTCCTTTTTAGTATCTCGACTTATAAATTAAGAAGTCAGTATATGTACGATAACAAAGAACACACAAAATAAAGAGTTTACAACTCAAATGTATATGTTCTATAGTCAGTTATTTGGATATAGGTAAAGAAATTCACGATACTTTCCATTTACCACTTTTTATTATTTCACCAAAGAATAGATTAGGAAAAAAGGTAGCGTATGTACAAGAATAAAGGATATGTATATGCCTCAAGTTGATTATTCAAACCAGGTTATCGATATCCCTATTTGTAAAAAGTACAACATAGTGCCTTAGTTTTGCAATAAATATAAATATGAAGTTGGCAGAATAAAAAATGATGTTATATATTCATTTTTGAGAAATTTTTCACATAGATATGCAGGATATAAGGGTACTAATTAAATCTGGTAATCGGTGTATCGCATAATCTGATGTTGTATACAGATTCTATTATATTTGAATTCCTTCTATGGTACATATTATATGATAGGTTAATTATTTTAATGAATATATCAAGTTACATGAATTATTATAAATTGTGAATATATTGTAAGCAAATGTTTTGTTATCGATATCTGCTCATGTTAAAAATCTCACAACTATTTACCAGTGTAATTTATGAACCAGTTTTAGTGCTTATATCCGAGAATGAAATATATAGCTGAAATGGATTTTTATTCATGTGACAATTATGGATCATTTGTTGATTTCATATGTTCTGTCAATTATCATAAGCAGCCATACATAACTAGTTAGAGCTTTGTTGTTTTGTAATATCTACATGAGCAATTTTATATAAATACAAACATACTGCTCATATTTTTTATAACAAATTTTAAGTATCTTAATTATACATGTTTCCAAAATTGATTTTGGATTTTTGAGGTATTTCGACTTTTTGAGATTTATGCAGAATATATTCTATATATGGAAGTAAAAAAAGTACCTAGTTATATGTATCTTTAATTAAAGAATAAATCTGGGTGGTCAAAAAATTTTGGATTTTAAGTAAAATAATTTCGTCTTCTATGAAAAACTATTTTGACTTTTTTCGCCGAAATTGCAATTTCGGAACCCCAAAATAATTTTGCGTGCAAGTATAATCTTAATACTAGCTCTGCTATCGTAACAAATATGTATCTTGTTTATAAGTTAAATATTTTGCATCCATCATATAACTTCTGAAACTCTCTATAGCTCTAAAGAGATATGTCACGTATTTCTCGGTATAAGATCAGAGTTATATAATCTGGCCCTTTGGAAGTACCTCTTCGAATCATATCAACATATAGAAATAATTTTGAATTGGATCTGAGGAATAGAGTATTTCTATCTGAGATAGGTACTAAAGAGCTAAAAGATAAAGAGCTAGAAAGATTAACAATGTTCTCAACAGTAGATAGTATTGGCCGTGCTAGCTCTGCTAATTCTGTACCCTTATATATCAAAACAACTTTTTTATCTTTTAAGCATAAACCTAAATCAACAAAATTGAATTCAATATATTCAGAGTATAAGTTATTAAAATCAAATAAATCTGAAT